TTCTTTCAGATTAATCGTCTGCCATGGGCTCGAACCACCCAAATTCCATAACCTAAATGAAAATCCCGGATTGCTACCCCTTAAAATTGGCAACGCCCAAAATATTATTGATTCTTGGTCGTTTATTCAAATTTTTGATATAACGATAATAGTAGAAGCGGTTTCAAAGCTACACCAACAATTTAAACTTTTAAAGCCTGAAATCGAAAAACTTAATTTACATAAAAATGAAAGTTATAATTCATACCACTTAATAAAACTACTCGAAGATAAAATAATACTCCAAATTAATCAACTTAATCCCACATTTAATAAACGGACAAAACGGGGCTTGATCGATGGATTAGGATCCAATATAAAATCTATAACCGGAAATTTGGATCAGGTCGACGCAGACAGATACGATAAGGCAATTACTACTCTCTCTGACAATCAACGAAAATTCAAAACACTTATTAAAGAACAAATTACACTTTTGTACGATTCTATTCAAAAATTTGAAAACAACACCCGCATTTTGGCACAAAACGAACGTCATCTAGAGTCACAAATATTAGAGGTTCAAAATATTTTGTCAAAAATTGAGTCTAAAAGAATTGAAGTTTACGAATATTTTTTATTTCAGATGCTTATTTTCTCAAATTATGGTAACGTATCCAATGATGACTGAAATCTTAGAAAAAATCGAAGTAGCTATAACATTCGCTAAATTAAATACTTTTCACAATTCTATCGTAGAACCTCATGAATTACTTAAAGAATTACAATTGATTAATAACCACCTGAATAATGAAAAGCAATTGTCTTTTGAAGCAACTTTACAAAAAATTTTGATATTTGAAAAAATTATAAATATTAACAGTTATATAAATTACAATACAACACAAAGAATTCAAACAGATACGTACTTTAAAAACATTATATTTTGCGTTTGTCAGGTCCAGATTGGAGTATGGATCAATTGTCTGGCATCCCTTATATGAAGTCCACGTTAAAAATATAGAATCAATTCAGAGAATGTTCTTGAAGTTTCTGTCATTCCGGGAAGATGGAGCATATGCAGTAAGAGGTTGTGATCACACTCATTTGTTAAACAGTGTAAACTAATATGCTGATGAAAGCACCCCTAATCTCAATGTGTAGCATATATAATAAAATATCAAAAGAGTGTGATTTTAATGATAAATTTCAAAATATTTTGAAACATATTCTAATTGAATACGGAATATAATTTAAAAATTAATTGAATTAATTTATTTGTTACCGCTAAGACGTGTTTTTTTTCCTCTCCTTCTATTTGTATTTCTATTTTTATTTTCATTTTATAATATTTGAGTCTGTAATTTATTTCATTTCTTTTTATTTGATTTTGGTGTCAAAGTTAAACAAAATATCGATATCGTCTAATTTGAGTTCTTTAAAGTCTGCGTATTTACTTTTTATACTTTCCATGTTAATGGACTGCTCCGTTGGGAAATTATATTTAATAATAATAATAATAATAATATAAAAAATAATCAAATCGTATTTGTTGAAAAAATTCCGTTGGTTGAAAAAAATAATTACAATTATTATCACCTTTACCCATTACCCACAATCAAAAATGGCAAATTCCGTGTGATCATACTGTAATGTACCGGTTCAAATTAAATTTAAGCGCCAGAAAGAATGACATTTTTAATTGTAATGTAGATTTGCGTTTTTCTTGAAGAGAGGTGGGGGAGCTTTGGCTCGTCTCATGATACAATAATTCTCAAGATATGATACTCGTGCGGCTCAAAATGAGACCAGTTCGCGCATGACGTCACTCAGAGAGTAGAACTATTGGAATTTCAACATAAAAGCACGAAGAATCGCTAATATTTTTAATTTTTACTGTTATAATTCTTTATGTATTTAAAAAAGTGTGTTGTATGTACAACCTCTATATTATAATATAATAATTATATTTATAACGCTGCATAAAATGACCGGAAAAATAAATTTACGTATCTGTCTGAATTAAATTGTAAAAACGAATTTAAGGGAGTTTGATATGCATTTTTATCATGTGCGACAAATTAAAATTTCGCGTTTAATATTATTTTTCGTGTACTCAATAGAAAAATGCGCCTTTAATTTGGAGATAATTATAAAAAGTGCTATTTTTCTTAGTAACACTTTTCCAACCATTCAGCATAACTGATGTCTCGTCCGCTTTATTTGAATTTTTTGTTCTTCTCAATCATTCATCAAAGTATTTGTAACACCTTTCATACTTTTCCTACTATTTTACGGGCACTACATTCGCAATGGCTTCTGCAGATTATCTGAAAATGCCAAGTTCTTCAGAATTAGCCATTTTTTGCTTTTTTACGTTTTTATTTGATTATCATGAACATACTTGTTGTTATGGTAATTGTTTACATTTAACGCAAACATAATTATCGTAAATTGAAATCTACTTTAGAAATTCTGTTTTAAACTTTGAAATACTGAGTACACGAAAAAATAACATGTTCAACACATAAGAAAAATGTGTTTTTTCTTTTTCGCTCCCTTCGATAATTAAATCTTCCATTAAAACGACCACTTTTTACTACTTGTAAAACAATCTATTATTAACAGAACAAAAAATGGTTTCGACACAATTGACAAAAACAACATTTTACCACATAATCTGAACTTAAAAATAAGAATTTTTAATAACTACTAAAAATAAATACAATGTACCTACTATAAAAATAATAAACATTATTAATATTATTATTATTATTAATAATATTATTATTGAACCGTGTGTGTGCATCATTTTTAAAAGTGGCCATAGGGATCCCCATGTTAAATTTTATACCCCATATTGTTATTAAGTTTGATTGTTTTGCTTTTAGGAAGACATAACGAAGGCACAGTTCCAGACTTTAGTTTTTTTAAACCTTTTTTAGGGAGATAATTCAAAAGTTCTTGTTTCAAATTTCGTTCAAAATCGTTTTCACTAAAATGCTGCGAACACACTCTTGCATTTTTTACTGTAAAAGAGTCCGAACGACAACAAGAAATAACCCATAATAATTGTCTTGTTACATTGTCCTTTGGAAATGAATAAAATTTTATGTCGTTCCGAAAATGTTTTGATTGATTATCGCTATTACACCCAAAAACGGCACAAGGCATCGTTGTAACTTTATAAAACCATTATAAAATAACGTGCACCTCCTAACTTTCTAAAAGGCACGTGGAACACAGAAAAACGTCGCAAAATACGCGCGAAATGCCTGTGTTTACTCTCTGAGTGACGTCACTCTCCCACTCCGTACCTGCGCAATATCATACCTGGTATTTATTGTATCATGGGCTCGTCTGGAGGGTCAGATTGTTTCAAGTAGTCGTAGCGTGCGGATGCAAATCCCCAGTGTTAAAGTCACATGTGTTTGAGATTTGTATGTTTCATTTATTTGTAAAATATGACCGAAGGGCCAATTGTCAGTAGATTAGAGTGACACCATCGTTACCCCTAGGTGTAAGTATAGTTTAATGTAATTTTTAAATGATAATTCGCCGATCTCACTTGTCGCGACGACGGCGTCGGGCAATGGACCTTTACAGTACATTCAGAATTACTGTTTAAATAAGTTTTATCACTTTTTAACAATAAAATGTGTTATTACAAAGTTCAATTATTAGGTAAAACCTCTCTGTTTTTCCGTAATCATTAAAACAAACCATAAAAATTCGAATACAATTTTAAAGCTGACGTCACGGACCTTCCCTTTCTCATTGGCTACGAACCACACCCACTTTTTCCGTAATCACCTGAAAATATTCGTGTAAAACGTGTTGTCGGCCTCTAGGCGACTTTTTAAAAACACCCATAACCTCACTTTACCTTTATGTTTGAGTGGTGTAATCACATCAGTGTTCATTTACTTTATTATTACACAATGTCGTAAGTACTACACAATACATACCCATATTGGTAGATGAGATTACCTAAACTTCCAGGTTACAAAAAATGTTGCAAAAAAAATGCATTGTGCCCTCTTGTAAAAGTTTATCCACAACTCATCCAGAGAAAATTTTTTTGTCTGTACCTAAGGATAAAGAACGACGCCAGAAGTGGTTTGAAATAACAGCTTTAGATCTTAATTTGAAAAAAGGCAGTCATAGCCTCTACTGCTGTGAAGATCATTTTAATGTAAGTGTATCATGTATGTAAGGTAGATATAATAATGTGTCGCAAACAGTAATTATGCTAAAATCCAACTTCCTAATAGTATTTTTTTCATAATTCCTTTGTAGCTGTCCACTGATGCAGAAAACTGGATGTATTATAAGATGATGGGTAGCTCTTTAAAACTTAAAGCGGCAGTAGTGCCTCATAAAAATTTAATCGCCTCAATTGTAACGTCCAAATCGCAACTAACAGATTCGGCAAAAAAGAGAAAACGATATCTGCTGAACGTTATTGATAAAAACACCAACAGTGTAGCACGAGAATTGTTTCCGTCAAGAAGCATGGATGTTGCAATGCAATCTGTGGAACCCCAAGAAGCTATTCTGCAGTCTTCACCTGGAAAATGTATTTCTTGGCCTACTCAAATTACTCCAAGTATATGCAGTGTTGCAGTCAACACTGAAAAAGCACAGCTGGTGGACCGTGCAACATCACCATGTTTTCCTGAAGATAATTTTTTGAAGTCAAACACAGAAGAGGTTGAGATCAGACCTTCCACTCCAGCAGCTTCAGATTCAACAATTGTGACAGAGCCATTGTTTAGCAGTTATTCACCCTCAAGTTTGTGTAGCACTACATGTGGAACACAGTCACAAGTAAATCGTTTAGTTTCAACGCTAATGTTAATGGAAATTAAAACAAGATTTTACCTGGGCTTGCCCCAAGAAGTTTATATTTTTGTGAAGGAGGTTAGTACTCATACTAATGTCTCTCACAGGGACATTTTAATCACTCTAAAAAAATTAGGCTTGCTGATCCTTATGTCAGACTGGCAGATGACTTCGATATGAGTGTATCCAATGTACAACGGATTTTAACAGACAGTATACCGAAAATTGCTGACGTTGTGCAAGACGTAATATATTGGCCTGAACGAATGGCAATAAAAACAGCTATGCCTATAGCGTTTAGAGCTAGATATAGGCAAACGGAGTCAATCATAGACTGTTTAGAAATTCAAATAGAGAAACCAACAGATTCTCTTAAACAAGCCTTGACGTGGAGCGAATATAAGAAATGCAATACATTGAAGTATTTAATTTCATCCACACCAAATGGCTTTGTTAATTTTATTTCAGGTGGTTATGGAGGGCGCACGTCTGATAAAGACATTTTGAAAAAAAGTGGATACTTGAACTGCTTACCAGATGGTGCATCTGTAATAGCTGATAGAGGTTTCAAGCATGTCACTCCGATGCTCACAGCAAAAAACTGTATCCTAATTAGACCTCCAAGCGTCAGCGAAGGTAAAAAATTAAGCAAAGTGGAAATGAAGAAAAATAAAACCATCGCTGCTTTACGAGTGCATGTGGAGCGTGTTATAAAAAAACTTCGAGAGTTTACAATGTTAGGCCCTCATGCTTGCATTCACCACAGCCTGCTGTACCTCATGAATCACATAATAATAATTGCTTGTGCAATTATTAATGTACAGGGAAAATTAATAAAATGTTAAGTAATTAATCTCTGAATATTTATTTAAATTTACATAGGTCTTAGTCTCACATACTTGTTCATTTTTTCACAGTGTATAATATACAGTAGACAAAAGTTTATAAATGACTTGGTTCATATCTTTGCAGGAATGAGAGAATAAAATGAAATTTAAAATTATATGTCCATTGATTGTACCAATAGAGGGAAAACAGCTTTCTGCCAAAACTCTTGTGATTTTGTAATTAGCTCATTACAGTAATCCTCGTCCAAACTTATTTCATAAATGGACACCTCCCTTGTTGTTTCAAACTTAGGAGATGCCACACAAAATAATCCCTGTTTTTTTTCTGCAAACAACATTTGAATTTGGATCTGGGAGTAGTATCTGCGGCCCACTATATTATCTATACTTATATAATAAAGCTGAAGCTTTTGTTTATTTGAACACGCATATCTCAGAAACTACTGGTTCAAATTCAAAAAATCTTTTTGTGTTGGATAGTCCATGTATCATATCTACATATAGGCTATATAACATCACGCTACGATCATTAGGAGCGAAGTAGCAATGAAAAATTCGGAAAAACGAGAAAATTATTCCTCCTTTGACAGCTTCCGTTGCTTACGCTGCTTAAACGGTTAAAGTTACGTAAAAATCATGTATGACGAAATTGTTCCCCTCTAAAAGTTCTAACGAAAAGTCCGCGACAGCATATGCCTATCTTTAAGGTCGAGTCAGTATAACCTTTTTTATGGTAATGAAATTTGTTCTAAAATAATAATGAATTATGTATAAAATTCTCGCGTCACAGTGTTTGTAACCGAACTTCTCCGAAATGGGTTGACCGATTTGTATGAAATTTTTTATGTATATTCGGTAGATCTGACAATAAGTTGTAAACTATTTTTTAAACCCCTAAGTGATAAGGGTGGCCCACCCTAAAAAATGTTTGTCTATTTTTTGGACAAAATTTTTTATTTTAATTTTTTTAAGATTTGGCATCAAAAAATACACATAACCCTAAATTTTCACCTTTCTACCACCAACCCCCATTTTTTAATCGTCTGTACAATAAAAATCAATTGTTGTTCCTGTTAGTCTCGCTAAGACTCAAAAACGGCTTGACCGATTTGAAATTTTTTTTATATTACGGGGATGGTTTCTAAATAAAAAAAATAAGGATAACTTAAAAGAACAGTTAAAAAATAAAAAAAATCTAAAAATTTTGTATGGGAATCGCCACTTCGAATTAATTTCAACAGTTGGCGTTTCTGACGGACCTGTCGTCTAACTAACGTGTCATACAAAACTAATTCTTCCGTGCGATTTTGAAAAGTATATTGCATTTCAAATCGTTCTTTGCTTTTTCGTAAAAAAAAGAACGTCGTTTATTTTAAGAAAAGTCTTGGTTAAAGTGAATTTAATTACACATTGCGAAAGTTTCTTATTCATTTTGATCTGCCATTCTTTTTACCTATATTCACTTTGTTGGTTTCGACAAAACCTCAAACTTTACCGTTATTCGAGGATTTAATTTGAAGTTTTCAATATATTAAAATTCTCAAGACAAAATTTACAGATTTGATTGACTGTGAAAATAATTCTGTGTCGTTTTATGAAGTTCATTAAAATGCCGAGAAGACGACAAACTCACATAGGTCCACGAAGTCAATCAAATGTGCGACGAACTACCTCAGGTGCAAACCGCAATGATTTATTTCATGGGTAATTAGGATATGGAAGTTGATCAGCGTTGTGCTCATAATCAACATAATCAAACATTGAAGCGAGACATTGGGTGGTATGAATAAAACTGAGTAGATACTCATTATCGAAGTACGACGTACCTACTTCATTATTACTCTAATATACCTGAGCATCTACTCTATTTACTGAGTACCTACTTGGAAACATTGTATCTACCCGGGCACAAACTGAACAACTACGCGTTTTGTGAGCATTTAATCTAGAAATGAGCATCGGCGTGGTAAATAACTGAGCTGTCTGTAAACGGCTTAGAAAACCAGTAGCATCGTTGTAAGAGTGAATTTTAACTAAACATGGTGACTTTCATGAACGTGGAACGTCGTCAAAAGGTGCATTCAGTTTGAAAAACACATTAGGAGCAGGAATATCGAAAACTTTTCATTTTATTTATGCATAAATTGTGCAGTGGGTTTTTTCTAACACTGGCCATAGAGATTCCCATCTCAAGGTGTCTACCCCATGCTAACTTATATTTTGGTGACTCGATTTTTGCCTTGATGGTTGAACACCGTCACTGTTGTCCTTTTTTGTTGTATCGAGATGCTACTTGAGCATCAACTGTTACTTACTGAAATATTAGTATCATCTAGAAAAACTAGAAATATTTTGATTTGATATTCGAGTAGATACTTCGTATTTCGAGTATGAGCATCTACTGAGTTTTATTTATATCAACCATTGTCGAAAAATTGATCGAACGTTGTTTCGATAGAACTTCGTTCGCACCAAAAGTATAATGAAACCTATTCAGCATTTTCGAGTTGAGTCTGTTCTTCACACAATTTTGTGATGACCTAATCAACATTTACTATCAACACGTATACCACCTTGGATTGGTGCAGTGTAATACTAATAACTGTATTGTATTCCCAAAATTATCTGCGAAAATCGAATGAGCCATTCCTACAATTTATTGGGGGGAATAAATAAATTTTCTTAACAATTTACCATGCTTACAATAACTTTAAAACGCCTGCAAGTTCTCACAGTATTCATTTTTGCAACTCTTGAGTTATTCACTAAAATAAATTGACTGATCCATATATTTTTTTGAGTCACTGTAAAAGCAAATCTAAAAAATATGAATGCAATGATAAATTACGAAAATATACTGATGATGTTTTCCACATTTTAGATAGGATTTATTCGGCAAAATCTTGAGATGACGTCTTCAAGTTTTTGGGCTTGATAAACAGATATATTTTGATTGAAAACCTACCATGTCAAACAGTAACTTCAAAACGTCTGCAATATTTCAAAATTCAGATTTGCAATTTTTGATTCAATCAATAAAATAAATTGACTCAGTGATTTTTTTTTTTTGAGACACCCCCTATAAGCAAAACTAAAAAATATGAATGGAATGATAAATCACAAGTATAGTCTCATCCTATTTTGGACATTTTAGATAGGATTCATTTGGCAAAATTTTGGGCTGACGTCATCAATTTTTGGGAGGGGATAAGTAAATATATTTTGAATAAAAATTTATTATGCTTATCATATGTTTAAAACATCTGCAAGATTTCAAAGCATTCGATTTTGCAGATTCAAAATTAAATTGTAGGTGAAATGAAGTTCACGGGGTCAGCTAGTTTTTTACATAATTTGCCACAGTGCTTCCTTTTGTGGGGCATTTAACTTCTATGACATAGTCCTTACTAATGCCATCAGGTGAAGCCCCCAACAAGGGGTATTCAGGTTTTAAAATAATACCTGAGGGATTAATTTTGATATTGCGTTTTTTGGCAACTTGTTTTAATAGTTCCTTTTCTAAATTTTGGCCCCGAATTGTGGCTTTCGTCCCACTAAACTTGACTGCCCCCATGATAGTCTACAAAAAATATATATGTACACATAAAAAATACAATTTCAGTATTTATACCTCAGTAAGTACTCCTTCCAGAGTATGACATTTACTGCTTTCATAAATTCGTGAAGCAGTAATCCGTCCAAATCTCATCTCCTTCCGCAAGGAACAATTTGATTGGCCTCTAGTTAATTTTTCAATTTGCTGGCAATGTTCAACTGTCATTAAGTTTGTAGCATATGCCATAAACATATCTGGTGTTTTTTGATATGCTGAATTACTTTCAAAGTCGACAGCGAGGTGGTAAAGGGAAGTATTTCGAAATTTTGGTAGATTTGATATATCAAATACCCACCTTCTGCGCTAGGGCATTTCGCCAATAAAACTGCTAAAAATGCTCCACTTCTTTTCGCTAGTGGAGGTATTGGCTTATTGACCAGAGCTGCTAAATCTGTTGCAGCATCTTTTCCCACTCGTGACAGTGCCGAGCACTTCCAGTAACATGTCTGTGATGTTACTGAAGGCTCTTCACTTCTTCTGTGTAGCCAAAATAAGAATGCTACTGCATGTTTGCAGTGACCTAAAATGTAATTTGATTTAGTTATAGTATGATGATAATTGTTCAAAGCTAACCTTCAGATGCTGTACATGTCGAGCACTCACAACTTACAACGACTTCATTAACTTCGTCGATAATGGCACAGACGTTGTAGTATTTACCACGTACCTTGTGCTCTGGGATTATTTTGCCCTTAACAGTGCAAATGTTTCCTTCCCGCCTCAACTGTATATAGGCTACAGCGTTATCGCCGTATGATGCTCTTGTTGACCTAATAACAAATTAGATATGTTAATACCAATTAATTTTATACTTATGTTCCTAGTATTAGCAATAACATTACTCACCTGCTTGCTTTTACATTTCGAGTTTCAGCAGAAACCATGTTCAAATTTTTAAAATAAAATTCCTCAACCATAAAAAAAATTAACAAATGGCAAATTATCTGATGAACCTTTGGTATATCCTTCCTCCATATTACATAAACTTTGCACAACACGAAATCAAACACACTTAACAACACTGAAAAAGGCTCAATCACACCAATGTCAAAATTCTCGAGCAGAGTTGATACAATAACCTATAAGAACGCAGATCGACGTGGCAGGCGAATTTTGGGTTGCTGACGTCATGTAGGCGGAAAGTAACGAAGATCCACGATTTATCACGTGGCAGGCGAGTTTTGGGCTGCTGACGTCATGTAGGCGGAAAGTTTAAAATTATCAATATTTCATTATTTTTTTTTATGGCACCCAATAGAAAATTATAAAAATTAATTATGACAGTAGAGTTATTTATTGTTGTACTTTTTAAAAATAATTAAAAAAAAAAAATCGCTGTAAAGGTCCATTCTGCAATTTCGGCAGATTGCGTCATCATGGATTGCGTCATTGTTGTTTAAACTGGCGTTGGCTGGGCAGCTGGCTGGTTTTTCCGGATCGCGCTCGGACTTGTTAAAAGCGATAAAATTGTTATTTAATTTCACGGAGTCGCTGGGAATTATACATTTTATTTTCTTACATGACGATAAAAAAAAACAATGTTATGTCAGGAATGTTTAAACGCAACATTTTATAATATTTTAAATTGTGAAATATCTCAGGGGATGGATGGTTCTTCGTAAGTTATTATTTCAATTTAAATAGATTCCCGTCTGGAATTTTAACATGGTTTTTGGCAGTATTCAAGATGTAAAATTTTAAAGATTGAGTCGCTTTGGAAATAATCAGCGAAATAAATGTCGTCGTGGATTCGAAAGGGCAAAGGGGATTTTATGCCGATTTTGTGTTATGTTTTATGTGTTTTATGATTCCAAATTTGGAACATTTATTGCCAAAAGTACCTCTCAGAGCGATGTACAAACAAACCAAATGATATTTTGTGTTTTGACCATATTGAACATGTGTTTATGTATTTATGTGTTGGGGAATTCGATTCACGATGTACTCTTGTTTCATAAATTTTGTTCAATTGAATTCGGTTGGCTACTTCGGCCCAAGTCAAGACTGACTAATTTCTCCTGTCATTCCTATGGCTGTTTATTCGCAATACCGGGATGCCGCCAACACTGGGTATGCGGAGGGTGTCTTGCTGGTAAAGGAAGCTTTAGTGGTGGGAGCCAGTGTCGTGTGTCCCGCGGTGGATGGAGTAAAGTTACGGGATAATACTTGCAGCCGCTGCCTCAGGCGCCGGCGAACACAGCATGGAGATAATTCGATGACAGTTAAATCGTATAAATAATCAAAATTTGCCAATATAATAATTTGGGCATTGCTTTCCATTTCCCTTACATATGAATTTGCAAACTGGAGAATTGTATACTTATAAGAACAAGCTTTGTTTAATCTGATAAAAATTTATAATTGTTACACTTGAAAAGAACGAGATTTTGTAACTGAAATATTGATTAAAAAAAAAAACAGCAAAAGGAAAAAACTCAATAAAATAATTCCCATCATATTTTTGTGTTGTTAATTTCAAGGTCGCTCTTCCACCTTTGCGGTTCACCACTTGCATCCGAACGCATTCCGCCATTCAAAACACAACGTAGGGTCCCCATTTTGATGACGATCACAGTTCATGGCCACTTTTCGAATTTTTCGCGGGTTTTCAAATTTTGTGCGCATGTCTCCGATTTTGGCGGAATGTTTGAGTTATTACAATACCCTAATCAAAGTACCTACTCCTAAATGAGCAAAAGTACATCTCTTAGAACCAAGAATGCCAGGAAATAACAGTAGAAGACTAGCTGTGCCGTGAATTCAACCCAATCGAAATAGACAACAACGTTCCGTGCGAGATTCGATCGCTACGGTATTCCGAGGACATCGAGGGTTGCGGATATGTTCATATAAAAGCAAGTCGCACCGAGATACGAAGGTTGGAAAGAAACAAATGGATCGTGATAGCACCGAACAAAACCATCGCCACTGTTCAGTGTCGTCATAGCACCGATAACGTTCCAATATTGGGTACTTATATGATAGAAGCGAACGACGTTCGTGAAATAAACATAGGACCCTTCAAGATAAAGAGTTATCAAAACAGTTCTCCCAAATTCAAAGTAATTGCTCTGCCTCATTTGGACTTCACTACCAGATTATCTAACCAAACTTCAAAATTTCCATCGATTAAATTGGAATCTATTAACCTGGATGAATTTCGACACATAAAAGCTGCTTTAGAACTACAAACGAAGGAGTTGGAGACGATCCCGGACGGAGTAACAAATTATTTCCAACGCCCCAATGTTTGGACAATCGTTTTGTACGTAGCAATTATACTGGGTTTCTCCCTTTTTTTGGGAAGAGTTGTTGTCAAAAGAAGATGTTCTACCCACAGGTGAAATGACCAAGCTGCTGATAGTCCACACGGTAATCCCAGGGAGCACATCATCATCTAAGGTCCTGGAAGTCGCCTCTACGTTGGGGAGGAGTTAGGTCATCCGGCCTATGTGCGAGGACGAGACAGCGGGCGGACTCAGCATTTCTCACACTCTTAGTCACACTTGTGTAACGGTCGTAATAAAGTTTTTTTTTTGTTTTTAAAAACCTAATTTGTGGACCCCCGAATTTATGACATTAATACTAATAATGCTAATATAAAATCTATATTAAAAACAGTGTAGCGCGAAATCAAAACTCGAATCGGAGATTGCAGAGTAATTTATTTTGATCTCACACAAATATAAAAATGCCGGCTTCGGAGGCGTACCGGTGTCGAGGCGGTCTCGTCGACGGGTTAAACGGGAGTATCCATAACCTTTTACGTATCACTGTCTAATAATATTAGTCAAATGTCATCGGAGGATAAGTTAGTATCTTACAGGCCTACCACTACAAATGGTCTAAATACATTTTTCACTTGCCTTAATAATGTTGAATAGAAAAAATAGTTGAGTGTCAAAGTCGAATGAAACATATGAGACGTGTGTAAACAAAAGCATCTAAATAATAATTATTTCCCGCACTTTAAACGTGATTTTGTTCGTTCAGGTGGAGTTGCGATATATCACAACACAAATGATACGACCAATCTTGTAACACCAAATATGTCGGTCATTATGAAGAATATTCAGGACTTGCACGTAAGACGTACACGTGTAGCAGATTTATGTGCAGCAGAGTGTGTAATGGAAAACGGCGTTACCTTAATCATGGCAGTCATATATGTCTCACCAAATAACAAATTAATAGATATTCAAGAGTTCATTCATCGAGCACTGCTAGAGTATTCTAAAGATATATCTCGAACGCTTAGCAGATACAACAAAAATTTAGATAAACTTCCACTCATTTTGGCCGGTGATTTTAACATCAACTTCAGTAATGAAAAATCAAAACCATTGCTACAGTTTCTAGAGGAAGAATTTGATTTAAGAATCAACAATAATCCGGCAGAATCAACATCAAAATATAGTATGTAGTACCATCGATGCAGTTTTTTCAAGACATCTAAATAAAATAGAATCCCAAACTTATGTTTCCTACTTCAGTTACCACCTTAGATCATATAATAAATAGATACCACAACGGCGTGTTCTTTCCCTGGCAGAGTCTGTGACGACATCCTCCTGTCACACATCTCTCTTCTGCATAGAGGGATTACAATCAAGCTATCCTTGCCTGATCACTATTTGAATTTTGCGCGCCTAAATTTTAGGAAGTATGTCTGAACTAATTTCGTACGAAAGATGTTGACAGCTTGATTTTATAAATAATTCACGGTGGATAACGAAAGGAATAGTAAATTATTGGGCAGCAATTGTGATCCTTTATGATTACATCACTTAAAATAGAATCTTTGTTCTGAATTCTAAAATTGTTTTTCGTACAAGAACTCGAAAGAGAGGTTAGAAGAAACATTTGGCAAAAGCGATTTGTTGCGCTGGTGCGGTACCAGGATAGAAGTGAAATACAGATGAAATGCATATAACAAAGATGAAGATGTGGTGATCACACAAGGATAGCACTATACTACTTCCCTTGACGTAGAAAACGACAACAGATAGCTTCATGTCTAGTCACAGCTTTCAGTTTGAGTATTGGTATCTATTTATTATATGATCTAAGGTTAGCACAAGCCAATTATTTCTAAAATTGAGCCTACTGATTAAGTTTATATTATATTTGTTAATAATAAAAAAATTATTATTATAACTTAAAAGAAATAAAATTTTATTACAATTCCTTCACTAATTAATCGAAAGCAACTTCGTTCCATCCGGGTGTTCCTTGACACCTCTCAATTTTTTTTTTCGTGGCTTAATAATAATTCATTCTAAGATTGTATTTTTTTTTTCAATGTGAAATGAATTTTATATTTAATAAATGTTAACATTATAATTGAATTTTTTATGTATTCGTCTAAAAGTCAGATTGGCCGAGCGGTCTAAGGCGACAGATTTAAGCTCTGTTTCTGATTTAAGAGCGTAGGTTCGAATCCTACATCCAGCATTTTTTTCAATGGATATATAAATTCAGATATAGATTTCTCAATTTCATTCATTAATAACCTACGCTCTGATGAAGCAGATGTCATCCATAAATTTTGTGCAAGTGGTGAAATTCGATAATTCACCACCAAAAATTCATTTAATGGTGAAATGGTTCTTTGCTTATTGCCAACCACGATGTGGTATTATTTGGCAACAATATGCTAGAGATGGTGAACGATTTCGAAGCCAAATACAACAATTAGAATCCATTCTAGAACCTATATTACAAGATTCACATCGAAAGAAAATAATGAAGTTCGATTTAAACAAAAATGTTAACCTGAATGTTATTGTTATTTAGTGAAAAAAAATTTAAAAATGTTTGTGTTTTTGTTACTACTATTTTACGATGATAATTCTCAATGAAAAGTGAGGGTAGCTTTAAAGGC